CATCTATACATATTGGCAAATGAAGATATTACCATGGACGCAAATACTTACCTGATTGTCGTCATTTCCAAATAGGGTCTGGTACCGGCCGGACCGCTTCAAAAATTCGTCGAAACGCGTCATAACGGATTTATACTGCAGAACGTCTCGTCCGCCTGTGTAATTTAAGCGGTAGAAATGGCATGAAAAAATATACAAAAAGCCAATAGCAATACATCCACTTGTCAAGTACATATACATGTTGTGCAGACTGCCTCGTAATCCAATTTACGGAACAGGACATAATCCACTACTGCATGACATGCGATGAATGGCTGCTTGAGAAGTGCAAGTCTATTGAGATGGAGCGAACACATACAAGAATCATGATACGCGCACTCGTCTTTGTTCTACATAACGTATAGCAGTCAAACCCGATGTTTATAGAGATTTCTCCTCTTTGTGCTCAACAGGCAACTCGCAGCTATTGTAAAGCTTGGTCCTGAATTCTGGGCCACAACTTTCTTCAAACACATCCAATACAATCTGATGTTCGAAATACATGCGTGCAAACCATATCGCACGCTTAGAGCTGCCGCATGGGGCACCACATATTAGAACTCTAATCCCCACGCCATTGAAAGGTTTGCGGTGATTGTGAACCACACTTTCATTTCCAAACAAGCATATATGAGCCTAGGTACCAAAAGATTGTACCAGCGTTCAGTGTACCTGGCATGTCCCACTGTCGACTGACGGTGTTCCAGTCGTCTTGCGGGGGTACAATCCATTCACTGATGTCACAGTCTAATTCCTTGGCTAAGCATCGTAGCGTGGCGCTTTTTCCCACGCCTGTAGGACCGGTAAGCACCAAAAGGCCAGGATGCTGTGTGCAAGGGACAGAACCTGGCGTATGAGTCAGACAAAATACGCCGAAATGTCTCAATATACACAGGCACCTGTATTTAGATATAAGTAATCCATATATATATATATATATATATTATGTGTTTATGTCGTGTATGTGTATGTGTGTTGTGTGTGTGTGTGTGTGTGTGTGTCTGTTCCGATATATATATATATATATATATATATATATATATACATATAATATATTTATATATGTCTATATAT